GGCGCTGAAGGCATGCACGCAAGTCTGGTAAGCAGGTAAGTCTGTGGGGGAAAGGCCATTGGGGGTGTGTGGGGGGCAGACTGAGGCCCCAGTGGTGAGGGAGGGAGCAGGGCACAGGTAAGAGCAGCAACTAGGCTGAGTGAGGCCCTGGCCGGACCAGGTGGTGAAGCAAGCAGAGGACCCAAGGGGGACATGCCCCCCGCCCCGATCGGTGTACGGGGTTGAGGTGGCTGCCAGTGCACACTGCACTTTGAGCCCCGCTGCCCTGAGATCGTGCAATGCCACGTGTGTCCCACTGCCGGGTGGGCAGGGGGCACAGGGCAGCTGCAGCAGGGAGCAAAGCACAATGCACAGCAGCACCCACTTTCACCCCATGCACCCTACTCCCTCCCTCACCACTGGGGCCTCGATCTGCCCCGCACCCCCCCCCCCCCCACTCCCTCACCTCTGGGGCCTCAATCGGCCCCACCCCCACCAGAAGTGAGGGAGGGAGTGGGGCTGGGGCAGGCCCTGCACAGCCAGGGCAGGACACAGGGTGGAGCCATGTGTGGCTTACCTGGGGGGTGCCCGGCAGAGAGGGGGTTGCACCTCCTCATGCACCCCAGGAGAGCATGGGGGCCCTTGTGCCCTGGATCTGCACATGGAGTGTGGTGGGCTGCTATTGCAGGCCAGGTCTTGGGGGGTGGCACTAGGTTCTTCCCAGCTGGGGAGGGGCTGCACTTGGGGTGGCTATGGCAAGTTTGGGATGGCTGCAGCCCCCCTCCTAATCCCACCACCTGCCCTGAACACAGCCCCCACCCTCAACCAGGAAGAGTCCGGTGCAGCCCCAGCCCACAGTGGCAGCCTGTCCTCACACCACACCCCCCCCCATGCCTCCCAGGGTGCTTGTAGCAGCAGGAGCTGTGCCTCCCAGACTAGCTACTCATGACTCAGTCCCGCACCCTACCCCAGCTGTGCAGCACCTGCCCCAGCCCCAGTCTCACCCCCTCCTTCACTGCTGTGTGCACCCTTCCTCACCCCTGCTGCAGCTGACGGAAATCCATGCCTGGACTACCTTACAGCCCTACCGCTGCCCCACATTTGGGGTGGGGGTTAAGCCCAATTAGCCCCCCACTTCAGCCGCCTATGTATAAACCTGAACAGCATCTACTCACTGTCAGTCAAACTGACAGATGGAATGGTATAAAAACTCTTTCAAAATTGGGGAACTTTTATACATATATTATTTCTCAAGTAATCCAATCATGAGTTAACACACACAAGTCGAGCATAGATGCATTTTCTGATTATGCACTTGCTAGCCACTTGTGTGCCAAGCATACATTTATTCAAAAACTAAAACATGTTCTGGTATTTTCCTATTAATACAGAATTAACTTTAATTTGTTTACAAAACATCCTTGGATTATCTTGTTTAGTACTAGGAACAGCTTGATTACTTAATTCTGTTTAATCCTTTTAGATAACTGCAGCAAATGGACAGGTACATTCTATATTTTGATACTTTAAAAGTTTGTCACTATCGCTTGGTTTAGCCATTCAGCTATTGTCTAAGGGCACTTATAAACATGCAGAGAGGCTGCTCCAACACACTGTAATTACAACACATCAGAGCATACTCAATTAATTGGTAACTAAATAATGGTAATTAACACACTCCAGCATCACATGTATTAGCAGCCTCATGCTGAAAAATGGAGGTGGAGGTGCTTTAGCTAAAGCTCATTTGACAAGCTTTGGTTAAAGCACCCTTGCCATCATTTTTAAGCGCAGGGATGCTGATGCACATGTTGCTTTGGGTGCTTCAATTAGAGTGGTCTACTATAATTAAAGTGCCCCTTCCCCTGCCTCCTGAAGCACATCTACAAGTGTCCTCTCCTGGAGAACATCTATAAATGGGTTAAGTACTTGTCTTGCGTGTTAAATAGGCCTAACTTACCCCAAGAATGACAACTTCTCCTACATAACCATATCTACTTTTGAGGCTCTTTTGACAGACTTCCAAGATAACTAAGGATCTAGGACATGTTCAATCTGCTCTTTTGTATATATGATCACTAAGATGGAACTTCACCATAAAACAGTTTTAAGTCTGATGAGTGTGAAGCAGTATTTTAAACCATAAACACTATAACAAATCCAATTAACTCAGTTTCACCCAGAACGGGAATTATTAAATATAAATGAAGGCTCTATTCTAGAATACAAAGGACATTTATTACTATTTTGTAACTTGCATGCAAATTAGGTGGTGCCACTCCTGAGCTGAAGTCCGACTAATATGACATTTGAATTGTACACAGCTTAATAGAACATGTGATCCTCACAAAAAGCAAACAATCCTTTAAGACAGTAAATATTTGAAAACATTTACTACTGAGGCATCTTAAGTCTTCTGAAAACCTCTGGGTAATATCCCATACCTCCCACCAAAGGCTGCACAAAATGGTGCTAATCTTTTATCAATTAACTTTGATACAGCATTGTAACCCCACTCAAATCACTACATTCCTGAGTGATCAGCAGAGGGTCAGACATAGGAGGGAACATTACTCGTATGCAGTTAAGAATTCTCAAATCTGATTTTTATAATTTTATCTTTATTTGCTTGTATTAGTAAGTATTACCAAAATCAGGAATAGGCCACTGGTATTGAAAAAAAGAAACACACACATGCACACGCACACAGCTGTATTGATTTCACTTGAATTGCTAATAAAACATGCTATACTTCAATATTTTGAGGATGAGAAAAAAAAAGCAGGATATTAATACATAAATATCCAATTTAAATCTAGAATCACAGGAAAACCCATCTAAATAGTTACAAAATCTTTTATTTCAGGGCACAACAGAAACCTACTAAAACACCTCAGATAGGTAATTTTTTAAGGAAGACGTTAAGTTTCAATTATTTACTCCCCACTAACAATTAACTCAGAATTAACAATAACCAAGGAAGTGCTTTAAAATTCTTTTCAGAGTAAGTAAATAATTAGTAAAAAACAGAAAGAAACAGGAAAAATGCCTGAACAGAAGAAAGGGAAGAACAAAAGGGACAGAAACTTGAAGCATTTAAAGATGCTGGCAGACAGCAGAAAAAAAATAAACCCCATCTCCCACAAACAAAATTTAGGAAAAATGTAAACTTTTTACTCACAAAATCATCTTCTCCTTCAGCTAACCCATAGTTAGGCAGAATAGCTCCTTCCATTGTAGTACTCTTGAATACACCTTTAATTTTGCTGCCTATTCTGCTTATTGCAAATGTTTCTCCTCTTTTCTGTGTGGTCCTGAGGATTATACAAACCAGAGCTCACAGTATATGGCAAATCAAAATTGTAGATAAAAAGCCACTACATATATTTGGGATAAGATCAAGCAACGGTACAAAGGAGGCAAGTGTTATGAGCATTTTCACTTTAGCATTTTAAGTTTACTGTCCATTGCATTTTAAGATTTACTGACCAGCTAACTGCCCCCTGAGGTAAGAAAAAAAATTAAAAGACAAGATTTGAACAATATGTGGAACAATGGACTTCAATCATAAGCTAACAGTGATGTTCTCATTATAGCATTACAGTAACAAAACACAGAGCACTAACTTCATAAGATAACTTTTCTAACTAAAAGAATTATAGAAATGGAGGTAGCGTGTATGACCTTTCTTAGTGCTTGTGGCAGCACCACCATTTCAGACAAAGCATTAGTCCATATTTGCTAACTGCTGCACATCTAAGCATGCTGTTTAATTTTTCTATAAACATCCAAGCGGTTGTGGGCACATGTGATGCAAGACAGACTATGATGACTTTAAAACAGCAAGGAGAGAAGTCAAAAAGCCAAAAGGTGGCAAAAGCCAACATGGAAGGTTAAAACTGACTGAACAGGAAAGAAAACAGACCCAACTGAAAATTTGGCTTAAGGAGGCAACCTGTCCTAGAAATAAAAGAAATAAAAGCTTGATATGAGGTTTAAAATCTTAAGAGCAAAAGTTCGCAACTTTAAATAAAAATGGACAAATGTTAGACATCAAGTGCACATCTCATTCAAGTCACGTGTTTTAGCATTTTGACACACACTGCACATCAATGCATGCTTACCACGCATACTGCCTTTACCCAGACCTGACAAGGAATGGTTATTTTTTAACAGAAGAAGTACAAATGAAATAGTTTATATAGAATTCCACCAGGAAGATTAAAGAGTGTCCCTAGTGCATAATTTTCTAAAGTCCTTTTAAAACTTTTTGATGTGGAATATACAAATCAGGAAAGTAAACCACAGAACTCTAAAGAGGCAGAGAGACTGTTTGGGATTCAAAGATGAAATGCACAGTTTAGCAAAACAAATGCATCCAATGGTTAATCAGTTCTCTATTTTTTTTTAATTCTGATTTATTTATTTACAAGCCACTCGGGAAAGCAGAGCAGTTAAGATCTGACAAAGCAGTTTCATCATCTAAAAAGCAATACTGCCAATAGCATCAACTGTCAACTCTGAAAGCTTTTTCTTGTTAGGGGGGACTTGAATGTTTGCTTTCAATATTTCCTGATCATAACTACCGTGTACATGTGCACACACAATAAATATTCTAAAACTGAACAAATCACTTGATTGTTCCTCCAAGCCATTTCTGTTTCTCACCTTTAAGTCACTGTCATTTCCCATTTGAGGAAAGGCATCCGTTTGCCAACCTTGCCATAAACCATAAGCACTATGATGATACTATGATGCCCTCACATACAACAACCCCAATTTTTATCATTTACAATTTAGCCAAGTTTACTACTGAGCCAAACTTTAACCAATTGGATTGAGATATTTCTATGCTGGTGTGTACCTAGAAAATAACAGTTTAGAGATTACTTAGAGAAGCTTGATGCTTTCAATTCTGCAGGACCAGATGGGAATGGGATGCACCCTCTGGTACCGAAGGAACTGGCTGAGGTAATATCAGAGCCATCTCTTTGAGAACTTGTGCAGGTCCGCTGAGGCTCCAGATGACTAGAAATGGGCACATATAGTGCCCACCTTAAGAGAGAGAAGGAGAAGCAAACATGGACTAGAAGAAAGTAGTATAAGGTGGATTGATTCAAGACTGGTTGCATCACTGTACTCAATGAAGAATCCCCAGGATCTAGTAACATTGAACATCTTAATTAATGATTTGGACAATGGGAGTGCACGTTTAGCAAATCTGCAGATGACATCAAGTTGGGTAGAGCTGCAGACACTCTGGAGTGTGGGGCTAAAATCCAGACTGACCTGGATAAACTGGAAAAGTGATCCACAATCAATCAGATGAAATTCAACAAGGACAAGTGCAAAGTCCTGCACTTCGGACAGAAAAATGTCCTTCATGAATAGACTGGTAAAGAATTAGCTAGACTACAGCATGGAAAAAAGAACCCAGCATATTACACTGAATGGATGAACACTGTGCACTTGTTGCAAAAAGCAACCCCCCCAAAAAAGACACATTAAAAACACCCAGTATATTGGGGTGCATTAACAGAGTTTCTTGCAAATCAAGGGAAGCCATTTTTCCATTATATTTGGTAGTGCTGAGGCCTCACCTGGATTATTATGTCCAGTTCTGGGCCCCATACTTTAAAAACGAAGTGGACAGACTGGAGAGTTCAACAGAGAGAAAAAAAAACTATTAGACCCAAGAATCATGGCTTATTACAAAAGGCTGAAACAACTAGGATTATTTAGTCTGAAAAAGAGGGAAGGGGGATTTAATTAAGACAGGGGGATTTAATTACAGCTTTCAAATACCTGAAGTGTGATTACAAACAAGATGAAGATAGACTTTTCTTTGTGGCTACAGGGGGCAGGACTGAGATCAATGGACTATACCTGCAGCAGAGGAAATAGGAAGAAGTTTCTGACTATAAGGGTGGTCAAATACTGGAATAAACTACCTAGAAAAGTTGTGGAATCTCCATCCTTAGACGTTCTCAAGAGCAGGTTAGACAGACACTTGGCTGAGATGGTTTAGTTAAGCATGATCCTGCCTTGACCAGGGGACTGAACTAGATAGCCTCATGAGGTCCCTTCCAGTCCTCCTTTTCTATGATCCTATGCTCCAAAACAGTTTATCTGCTTGAGAAGAACAACATATATGTTTGTGCTAGTATCAAAGTCAATATTAACAGCTTCTTGGAAAGTTGATATCCCCTCCTCTCCCCTGACCTGGGGCAAGAGCTTAATATCTGGCATGAAGGTGGGAGAGAATAACTTGAACAAGGAGCCCAAGAGTGCAGAACAGAATGGAAGGGCAATTTGAAACAAGGAAACAGGGCTGAGAGAGAGACTGAATGAAGAACCTCAGAAAGACAACTAGGAGCTAGGAAGCTGTGAAGGAAGCACAAAAGAAACCAAATGAGGAGCCATGAAAGGGGATTATAACTGGTTGAAGAGACTGACTAGAATGAGAAACCTGTGGAAACTATTAGTTGAGTGAAGAACATGGGACTTGGACAAAGGACTTGAGATGGTGAACACACAGCCTGAACAGGGGCAAGTTGGGGGGGGGGGGGGGGGGGGAAGAGAGAGAGAGAGAGAGAGAGAGAGAGAGAGAGTTGCAGAAAGGGGAAAGTTTGAGAAGCTGAAATTTGCAAGAAAGGAAAATTGTGCATTTTTAAAATTAATTTAGTTCAGAAAACACATTTTCATATACGTTTAAAAACAAAATGGTCAGTTTATGGCTGTTAAAGGCAGTATGATATGGTCATGATAGAAGCAGTCCAGCATTAACAGGCAACAATTACAGCATGGTAATTTGACTTACCGAAAATCATCGAAACTCAGGCTACCTCTGCAACAACAGGCACATGAAATTACACCACAAGCCCAAAAGAATAAAGTCCCAAAGAAAGCCACAAACTTATTTCAAGCAAAACCTGTCTAGATCCTTCACTGTATCCACTAGCATGGATACTGGTGCATTTATGATAGTCTCTACAAACTGAAAGATTTACATACTGATACCTTCCAAAAGTAGAATGTTAATATCAAAATGTACTAAAGGGAACAGGGGGAGAAAAATCATCATATTCAATGATTTTAAAAAACCCAGTCTTGAGAACATTTAAGCATGTGCTTGAAATTACACAAATGAATAGCTTCTGTTAAACACAAAGGGATTACTCTCGTTCTTAAAACTAAACATGTGCAAATGTTCAAAATTACACTGCTAGGCTGTAATCCAGGTAGGAAATTCATACAGGTCAGATTCTTTAACCAAAGCTCTAGGAAAACCTCAGGCATTTACTTTTATAAAGCACAAAATGTATTTTGTGAAGAAGTCTGAAAATGTAAATGGCTCTTGCATAGATTTTTAACAACTGAAGGGACCATTTCACCATCTAGTCTGCTCCTCTGCACAATACAATAATTATGATCAAGCTCAACCAAACTCAAGTTAAATATAGTAATAACCAATATTACTATAGAGACCACAGTTGGTTTCTGGTACATGGAAACTACCATACTGAAGAGCCAGCATGGGTAAAAAGAAAAAAAAAAAGTTTGTAGGATCCAAGTTTCCACATTTCCTCTTTAGAATTATTAAAAAAAAACAAAAACAAAAAAACAACCCCCCCCCCAGCAACAGTTTAACATCTCATATTGTTCTTTAACAGTGAAATCTTTAATTGTGAAGCCTGAAATAGATTCAGCTTAGTAGCATGTAAGTAGCATAAATGGGGAAATAAGAGATTCAGAACATTCTGGCATTCAGTCTTAGAGGGGAAACAGTAGTTATTGAGCTTTAATTCAGTAATGATCATAAGGAATATCCTTACCATAACTCTTTAATAGTTATGCCCTCTGAGCTTTAACTTAGATAGTTTCTTGTGAAAACTAATAATCTGATTCATAAAATGAAACTTTAACTGTGTTTGTCTAGTACATCTTATGATGCAAGTCAAGCATTGCCCAGAGCCATTCTTCTCTTTTAGTTTCCCCACAGTGCTCTCTAGCAAAGGAAAGGAAGTTACTGAGCAATAACTAGTTCTTTGAGATCCATTGTCCAACTGCACATCCCACAGTAAGTGCCTATTCAATTCATGTCAGCAGCATTCAGAAACACATCGCACCCTACCAATTCTTGCACTTTTGACTAAGGACATAAAAGGGCAGAGTGTACCTACTATACTGGACAACATCTTTAAAAAAAAAATGATTGCTGTAAAGTAACTTCACTTTCTTCAAGTGATTGACCACATGCACATTCTATTGAGAATGACTCTAGAGCAAGCCCATTCAGGCAAACTTTTGAAGTGCTCCATATTCTACTCCAGTTTAGAGTGTTTTGGCTCAGATAGATGTGTGGCTCCCTGCCACATATCCCCACCACAGAATTTCAAAATTTCCAGGTGATGTGACAAGAGATTTATTGGTGTAGGTCAGGGGTTCCCAAACTGTGGTACACATACTCCTGGGGTATGCAAGACATCTCTGCAGGGTACAGGGGAGAAATTGTGTAATGGCAGATTTAATTTTTCATTATTATAATTGGGATTTAAAGGGGTAAAGTATGCTGGTAGGGGTACATGGGCAGCCGGTAAAATCTGGAAGGGGTATGGCAATAAGAAATTTTGGGAACTTGATAGTCACCTGGCTGAGGTCATCTGACCTTGGTCCTCTTTCCTGCCAGGGGTAGGGGGTCGGACACGATGATCCATTGTGGTCCCTTCTGACTCTACAATCTATGAAACTTTGGTGCAGGTAAAAAACTGTTCAAGAAGGAACCTAACGTGTATTCTTACTGCTATCTTCTCCAGATGAAACTATGATGGGGCAAAATACCATTATGGCATGGATTAACTCAAACTGCTCTGACAATAGCAAAGAAAAATCAAGAAGGCCGTCTTCACTAACAAACACACCACAGAACATGACATCACTGATTCAAATGGAAAATCCACGAGAGTGGAAAGTTGCCTGGCATTCTATTCTAGTAGTATTCTATGAGATGGCTGGTATTCTAGTTGTATAGAACAGCACCAGTTCAAAGATAACCCTCGAGACCAGAGGCAGGCAAAATACAGCCCATGGGCTGAATCTGGCCTGCCAGGCAATTCCATCCAGCCTGCGGGTGTCCAACAATTAACCGTACCCCACACAGCCCGTGTGCCTTGCTCCCACCCTGGTGCGCAGAAGAGCCCAGCCCAGTCAGCACGCAGCTTCCAGGCAGGGCTGCTGCTGTCACTGCTGTAGCTGCTGAGGTACCCGCTTAGCTTTCCTGGCCTCCAACAGCTTCTCCTCGTCTCCCTGCTGCAGTGCTTGCTCTGGGCAGTAAGTAGGGAAACAGGAGTGGGAGCTGTGGCGGGGCAGTTGGGGGCTGTAGCTGGGCAGGGCTAGGGAGCATGGGTCTGAGGCTGGCGGAGCTTGTGCTCAGGGGGGTAGCGGGAACACGGAGCTCAGGTGGGCAGGGTGTGGGTCTGAGGAAGGGTGTTGGGATCCCCCTGCACACTCCCTTCTAAGGCACACAGCTCTCACTGCCAGTGGCAGCAGCAGGCAGGGGCCCTTGGGGCACTCGTGACACTGTAGCTTGGCGGTGCACAGCTCTGACCAATACTGCACATGGTGCAGGCTGGCCCACCGCACAAGTGCAGCTCCCAGCACTTGCATGCCACCAGGGAAAGCCCCTTGTGATGGAGACAGCTGCCTATTCCACCATGTGCAGCTTCTGGGACTCTGCCGGAAGTGGTGGGGAGCCCTGCCTCCTGCTTACATGATGGCAGCCAGCTCCAGCACACGGGGGGGCACACAAGTGCCAGGAGCTGCATGTGTGGAGCGGGAAGTGCCCTGCAAGAGCCAGGCTGCACTCCTTGCTGTCAAATGTAGTTCTAGCTGGAGCTGCATGCTGATAGGCACCTGGAGGGCCCCTGCCTACTGCCGCAGGCAGCGGGAGCTGTGTGCTATGGGGGAGAGGGTGTGGGAGGGTCCCCACACCCATCATACCCTTCCTCACATCCCACCAACCCAACCCCGCCTCAAACACCCTCCACAACTACACCCCACGCACAAAATACAAGAATAAGACTTCTTTGACCTATTAGGCAGTCACCTCTATATATACACACTACACAAAACAAAAATGATGACGAAGTATTTTTTTTTTTAACAGAATTAAAATATGTTATAGTAAATGTTTGACTTCTAGTATATGATTTGTTTTTTTCCTGGTTCAGATAACCCCCCTCCCAAAAGGAGTACTTCTCAGGGCAAAGGGAGGGACATCCAGTGGCAAAGGTCAGGGGTGGGACTTCCAATGCCAAGATGGTGACCATGGGGGACGGCACCTATCAACGGGCAGGGCTACCCACGAGGCCCTCAACAGACCAAAACTCATTAAGCAGGCCTTCAGCCGAAATAATTGCCCACACCTGCTGGTCTTAAGCATAGGGCAAGCCAAGAGGAAATAAGCTGCTGCCACTGTCCCTGGCTAAGCTGGGTTCCCTGGACAGCTGCTCCTTGCAGTGCAGAGCAAGAACAGGTCATGAGCTGCTCTGGGGCTCCCCCTGCTACTGTTATTAGCCAGGACAACAGCAGAAGGTGCAGGGGCAGGCACAAGTGGGCAAATGGCAAGGGGGCAGGTAGGGGGAAAAGGACAAAGATCAGGCTGTCTGCCTCCTTTGCTACTGCTTTCCCCACCATAGTGGTCAAGGAGATCATTTAAGACAACCTCCCAATAATTAAATTCTATCCATGGAAAATTGAAAGAAATTTGTAATTTTCCATGGATAGAATCTAATTATTGGGAGGTCTTAAATTCAAAGTCATCTTAGATTCAAGTAAATTCATGTGACCAGCATGTGCAGCACCCCAGACCAGTTGGAACAGCCATGGATCGGGTATGCTGGGGGAAGGGGAGGGGTCTGTCTGCCACATGAGATGATACCCCTGATTTAAGAGAACATTCAAAGCAAATGTTTTAAAACTGTCAATGAAAATAAAAGATTTAATACACCTACCTATTAGTCCTTGAATTGCGGACTGGGGACTCTGCTCCTTTTAAGAGGTGTCTGAAATACTAAAATAGATGGATTAGTAAAAATACAAGAAATCACCGAGTCAAGTTCCTTCACTTCTCCATTGCTCTGGCTGCTTACAAAACATGGGGGGGAGGGGGAGCGTCTTATTTTAAGCTTAACACGCCCCCATACTAAGCACATTGCATGCTCAGAAGAGGCACTGTTGTTAGTCGGACCTGGCTTGCCCAAAGTCTGTACAGATTGGGTGCTTCAGCGGGACTTTTTGGCATTTTTATCTAATAGCTGATTGAAATGTCCCACTGAAGCACCCAATCTATACAGACACTGCAGAGCCAGGTCGAACTAATGCACTGCCTCTTCTGGTAAAGTGCTGTTTGTTTTTTTCCCCCCAACATCTGTCAGCTCCCTTTAACAGTATTTTACATTTTTAAGAGTTGATAGAAATTTAAATAAATCATCATTTTTGTTTGCAAACCTTGCCTCCAGAATGAAAATTAAGAACTTTACCAATACACATCTCAACTTACAATGCTCTACCTCAAACAAGATATTTTAAAATTAGTATAACATTTTAATTATCTTAAAACAGTATGTTTTTCCTCAGGAGTGGCTTTGCATGGTGGGTATGCTAAATCTTACAGTACTGTTGTACTCTGAAAGGCAATTAAGTAGTATTAAAGAAGTTCCCTATCAGTTACTTTTAGTTCAAGTCCTTACTTATACAAATGGAGGAGGGAGAGACTTTTTTTTAGATTACAGTACTGCAAATTCAAATCTAAGATGTGATAAAGTATTCTCCTTAAAGATTTTTGCCTCAACAATTCTGTAATTAGAACTCAGTTATCAAGAAAACCAATTTCCTTACTCAGAGCTATAGTGGCTCCACAGTGCTAATGGAGGTAAGAAAACAAGCTATTTGCCAGTTAAACAACTGAAATCTCAATATTTACAAGCAAAACTTCTGTAAGCGTGACATCTTACAGCCTATCTTCCTAACAAGTAACTATTTTAAAGGCAAGAATACAAACCTCTCATACTTACCTCATCACTATGACAGAACATAGGTGCAAAAAAATTCTCTAAGAGGGAAAGAACATGTTCATATGCTTCAAAAAGGCATCGCATAGTTTGAAGTTTCACAACATCTACATATGGACCTTCAGCAACTACAGAAAAAAATATTACAAAATTATGGCGAATATTAATAGACTCTGCCTGCATTTCACACATCTCCCCCCCACACTGATATTTCCTAAATTAATCAATACAAAATCAATGCACTGAGCACCCCAAAATTTTGCAATTAAGATGCTTGCTGAAAATGAGTTTCAAATACACAGTATAACAGAGATTATGCAGATAAATTTCACTGAAGAAAACAGTATATACATCCACAATCACTGGTTTAAGTGCGATTTTTCTGCTATAATAAAATTAAAGTTATTCATGATTTTGATTTATTAAGATTAATTTTTTAAATGACAGAATGCTTTATGAATTATAGTATAATTAAGTGTCACTTTCAGTCCGGAACTTACTTCTTTGAATCTCTTCCACAATAAAAGGGTCAAATCTAATTTTATCAACACTTTCTTCCAAACAGTACGTTTTGTAGATTTTCTGTACTTCTTCATGAATAGACTTCTTTTCAGCATTTGTTAGCTCTGGTCTTAAAATTTTATCATTGAATTCCTCTGCAAATTGGGGGAAAAATGTATTTCTTAATTAAATTAACTAATATAAAAGGCTGTACCTTGCAGGGGGCATGTGGTTCAACTCATACACCATACTAATAGGTATAACTTTTCATAAAATCTTCACTATATGAAAACTTAAAGATGATGAGACCCATAAATCTAATGAAGTAGTTTAAGTGGTTTATACTTTTATAAATTAGCCCCTAAAATACGAGCTGCAATTCATATGAGTGTACAGCAGGGGTGGGCAAAATACGGCCCACAGGAGGCCATTCTGTCTGGCCTACAAGACTGCAAGGAATTTTAAAAAATATATATATATTTATTTGCCTCTGCCTCTGGTCAAAAGTGACAGGAGCCAGAGGCATTATGACCCAGTGGAAGTCAGGCCCCTGGAAGACCAGGGCCCACCCCCCAGCCAGGGACCATGCAGCTGTTCCCACCAGTGCCGGAGCAGGAAGCTCAGGTAAGAGCGGGTTGGGAGGACACTGGTCCCCGTCTGGCCACCAGGCTGGGGCGGGGGGCTGGAAGTGAGGGGGTGTGCGGGAGCTAGCACTGGCAGGGCCCAGAGCAGGGTGGCTCTCCTCTCTCCGTGCTGGGGCAGCCCAGCCCAGCTCCATAGAGCCCAGCCTGCTTTGGGCCTGGGGCACTGCCTGGCTGTCACTGGCTCTCAACAACCCTGTCTGGTCCTGGGGACAGTACAGGGGCCGCCTGGGGCTGCTGGGGGCAGCATGACCCAGCGGGGATGTGGCCCGGGGCGCAGAGAGGTGGTGGGGAACTTCCAGCCTGCACCTAAGGCTTGGGGCAGCAACAGCCTGGCTGCCCCCCACAGGAGGCTCCAGTGGGTGCTGCCGCCCCAGGGGCAAGGCCCGGGCCCCCCTGCCCTGCAGGGGCCCAGCGGCAGCTCGCTCCCTGGCCCCAGGGCGGGTGAGGAGGCTGTGCCAGGAGCTTGATTAAAAATACAAGCTTAACTGGGCAATCACTTCTGTTCTCTTGTAGTACAGAAAAGGCTACTGGGCCTGAAATGGAGGATTAGAGTTTAGGCAAATTTCTCCAATAGAACCAATTAAGATTTCCCTGCAGTATATGCAACATGCAGTATAAACAAGTTATACTGCATATAAAGTTATATGTAGTATAACCTATCACATTTCATCACAATGTAGATACAGAGTAAGAACAGCACAAGGGAAGTAACAAGAGCTACATGCATTCACTTTGAGACAAAGGCCAATACATTTTTGCTATTAAGTACAACCGCACAGGGCACAGTTCAATATTCTTACCTACAGTTAGGCAAAACTGCAGCACATGTACTGCTCCTTCCTGTTTGAGGAAGTTCATGAAACGAAATAAGAGATCTTGCTCTTCTCTGATCTCCTTCAGTTCCAACTTCAGGACCTTATTATGGAGGGTAGATATCATGGTTAGTTTCCAAAGAAAGCATAAGGAAATATCCAATACAGTGGTTCCCAAATTTCTCTTATTGCATATCTGGGGGCTGGACTCAATGATCTTCCAAGGTCCCTTGCAGCCCTAATGTCTATGAATTGTAGGCTGGAACCTGAAATGTCTATGAATCCACTTCCAAATTTACCAGCTGCCCACATACCCCTACCAGCATACATTTTATATTTAACCCCTTAAATGCCGATTATTATTATAATGAAAATTAAATCCTCCATTACACAATTTCTCCCGTGTACCCCAGAGATGTCTTCCATACCCCCCAGGGGTATGCGTACCACAGTTTGGGATCCCCTGGCCTAACAGAAGTAATAAAAAAGATAAAGTAGTGTGTATAATACTTATCCACAGGCTGATATACAAGGTAAATGCTTTCTTCACTTACAGATGTTTTTTTATTTCGAGGCTCTGCAAATTTTTGCAGAAATGGAACCAGTGAAGAAGCAGGTTCAGTTGCTTTCTCCGGCTGTAGAAAGAGAGTAGGTCAACCGAGTAAGAAGATAACTGACACTTGCAAATTAATTATAAATTATCTGAATTTATCAGCACTTACTGGACTATCATCAATGAAGATGAGAAGCAAATGGTTGACAGTATCCTAAGAAAATACAAAAATACATATTACAGTAGTTCCACTGCCATGCTATGCCCAGGTTTCTGGTAAAATTTTTGTAGATCGTCAAAGCTTACAACAGCAAAACACAAGAGCAGTATTAAAGAATGGCTCTCACGACCTTTATTTTAATGACTGCACTTGAATGATCTCAGTACCCAAGATCCAAAGGCAGTGAATTTATATAAGATGACATTCACAGAAACAAGACCAACAAATAAAAACCGTATTGGCATTTTACACAAATACAGACCAGGTAATTTGTGACTTCCACAACACGCATCATTCCTTGCTAGCAATCACATAGTATTCACAAAGGTGTGAAGCATTCCTCCCCTCGTAGGAACGGCGGGAGGGAGCTGGGCAGGGCTGGGTCCCCAGCAGGGGGTGGAATGGAGCTGTACATGGCTCGTCCAAGGGCTGGGCTCCCTGGCAACACACCCCCTGCATGCACAGTAGCTTTGAGGGGTGCAACCCTGCACCACTGCCTTTACTGGTTGCCCCCCACCCTGTGCACAGTTCTGGGGTCTCTGCCTGCCCCTCCAGGAGTGTGCGCCACACCGGGGAGATGGCCCCACCCCTTGCATCCAAGCCTGCAGCGGGCAGCTGGGTTCTGCTGCGGGCAGCTGGGTTCTGCTGCGCTACAGCAGCTGCTGCCTGGGGAAGGGAGCTGCAGATCCAGGTCCCTGGACCCATAGCCCTGGGGCCCCCTCCAGCAGGGCCAGGAAGCTGTGGGGGAGAAGCGAGTATGTGTGTTCTTAAAACAACAAATGGGTCTCCTTTTAATGGAATCAGCAGGTTAATAGACTCAAATCACCATTTCCCTAAGTGATTCCAGTACGAATTACTCATTCACCAAAATCTCACCGGATCAGCTATGAAGTCCATGGAGGGAAGGAAAACAGAGCCAGACAATATCTCTCTTATGAGCAATGTCAGGGATCTAAAAAAAAAAAAAAAAAAGTAGTATTATGTAATAACCAGTGATTAGCAGAGTACTGAATCATCTGCAATGGGTACATTTACTACTATTAAACAAGGAAATATGTTTTAAGAAATGTTATTTTGTTAATACTTTGAAACACATTACATATATTGCATCTTGGGATGTTTAAACTAAGGGTCACAGTGATCTTTGGATGTATAAACATGGAAACAGTGAATAGAAGTATGGCGATTTTATCTCTGTACAATTTTAACAATACCAGAATGATATATTCAGGTGAGATATCCACATTTTAAGAAGAACGTGTGGGGAAAAATAGAGCAGATGCACAAGAGAAAAAAGTAGACTAAAGGAAGCAGAGAGTGAGATTTTAAGAAGGTGATAAGTTGAGCTTCTCAAAGAAGGCTGAGAGGCATCTTGATTACAGCATGCAAAATAACTTCACAGGAAAAATACATAGGGTTCAAAAGGCCCCTGTAATTCAGTAGAGACAGGCATAACAGAAAACACTGGCTGGAAGCTAGAAGCCAAACTAATCCTGATTGAAAAATAATGCATCATTTTAGAGGCGACTTCAGTTCATTACTGGAGCAAGCCAGCAAAGGAAGCTGTTGATTCTCTATGCCTTGAGAGTTTCCAAATCAAAAATAGATATGTTTAACTAAAACATATCTTACAGTAACGCAACACAGCAGTGAACTGTGCAAAAACTGAAACAGCTTACATTTTACAGGAAATTAAACTACAATATAACGGTCCCTCTGGTCTACAATTCAACAGTGGGAAGGTAAGGGGTAAATGCCAAACACAGTAGTTCATCACTTAACTTCCAAACACTTCTCCTTAAGGGTCCTGCTAATCTTTGGAAGTCAGTAATCTCAACATGCAGACTGGCTTGTTTTCAATGCCTTAAATGTTTGCTCCTTATACGTAGATAAATTATTTTATTTGCTAGAAATCTGGATCTGTACATGCAACTGCCTAACCTTAGGTTGTGCCAATTCACTACACGTATAGATAAGGGTCCTATGGATCTGTGAACTCCTTCAGCTAAGACCCATCCTGTCCATTTTCCCCAAGAGTCTATTCCACTCCACACAGCTATGGCACTGTCCTAGAATGTGGTACTGAAGTTAAAAGAGTTAAAAAGGGGATTGTGCAGCAGACATTTGCCACTATACTTCTTTGATGAATCCATACCCCTCTCACAACTGATGGGCTGTCTGTTTGGTAAGGTTAACTGGAGAAATAAGGCCAGGTTTCAGGAGGGAAGTTGGTGGCATATTTGGACTGCTGGGTTGTTATGAGACAAAAAACCCAAAACATTTACCTAAACTTGCTATACCAAAATTATGTTCCTATCAGTATAAATAAATACTGATCTCAGTGGATTTCACACAAAAAAAACAAAACAAAAAAAAAAACCAAAAAAGTGTGCACAGAGAAGGTCTAAGACATCAGTGCTGCCACCTGCCTACCAGAACACAAATTATTCATGCTTCTCAAGTTTTCTTCACACACCACTACTTCAACTTCCTACTTTTTAACACCCCCTAAAATGTTCAACTTTGAAAAATCAAAATTGTGGAGAAATAAAAAAGGAAATTCATTTTTTAATCTCACTAATGGAAATGCCCATCTAGAAAAGCAATTATATATCCTTGTGTTGTTAATAAGACATCAGTTAATAAGGCACCCATTGTCTGAGCGTAAGTGCAAACAAACCTATGTTTTGAGAAACCACTAGTTTTCTTTGCTGTTCCACAAATTGGAATCATCATTCATATACCTGATTATACTGAAACAGAATTATCCAGGCCAAATAAGTAACAATTTCACGAAGTGTTGCTCTCTACATCAAGGATCAGTTCGCTTCCCTGCAAATTGAGTTTTCTAAACAGGAAGGGTGTCTTGAAGCCCTCTGGGTCAAAATACAAGGAGAACATGGGGAGGGTGACATACTTATAGGAGTCTACTATAGACCACCCCACCGAGAGGAAGAACTTGATCAGGAATTCAACAGGGAACTGGTCGAGGCTGCGCATTCCTGATACATGATCGTCATGGGGGACTTCAACTTCCCTGACATCTCTTGGGATGAGCGCACAGCCAGATCTGACAGGTCGTGCAGCTCTCTCACTTGCACTGATGACCTCTACCTAATGCAGGAGGTCTATGGGCCAACTAAGAGAGAGGCATTGCTTGATCTGATCCTGGCCAAAGGGGAGGACCTGCTGAGCAGTCCGATGATCGAGGGGAAGCTTGGTGACAGCGACCGTGATTTGGTGACCGTCTCAGTTCACCGAAGAGCAAGGCAGATCCCTTCAGTAAAACAGCAATCCTTGACTTTGGGAAGGCTGACTTTTACCAAGTCTCTGAGTTTGCAAATCAAGCAATTAAGAGGCCATAACCCCCTGGATAAGGGAGTACATGAGAAATAGTCATCTCTCAAAAACAATCCTTGAGGCACAGGGGAAAGCCATACGATCTCGCAAGAAATATAATCAACGGACAAGGAAGGCCCCTTGAATGAACACGGAACTGTTGGAGCTCATTAAACTCAAAAGAGAAGCCTACTTCAGTTGGAAAGTGGGAAGCATCACCAAAGAAGACTACTCAGCACTTGCCTGCACCTGTAGGGAACGGTCCAGAAAAGCCAAGGCACAAACCAAATTCAGGCTAGCTATGGGGATCAAAAACAACAAAAAGGTCTTCTTCAGATATGTGGGAAATCAAAAACAGAACAAAGATAGCATTGGGCCCCTGCGAGATCAAACAGGGCAGTTAACATCTGATGCCCAAGAACGGGCCAAATCTCCTAAATTACTTTTTCACATTGGTTTTTCACCTTCCCAAGGGGATCACACTGTCAGAAAGGACATGAACCAGCCTGGGAGCTGGTGGCAGGCCCAAAATTGATGTGGACCAGATGAGGGAACACCTTGAGAAACTGGACATTCACAAGTCCACAGGCCCAGATGGAATGCACCCGAGAGCCTTGAAGGAGCTGGCAGACACCATTGCGTCCTACTTGGCAAAGATATTTGAAAATTCACGGCACCTGAGTGAGGTCTTGGAAGACTGGAAAAGAGCCAACGTGGTCCCCAGCTTCAAGAAAGGGAGGAGGGATGACCCGGGGAATTATAAACCAATCTCTTTGATGTCCATCCCTGGACAAATCCTGGAGAAAATTGTCAAGGGATCCATCTACACCAGACTAACAGAAGGCAAGCTTCTGAACGCCAGCCAACATGGCTTTGTGACTGGCAGGTCTTTCCTGACCAACCTCATCTCCTTCTATGACCAGGTGACAAGCCCTGGACAAGGGAGATGACAGATGTCATATCTGGATTTCAAAAAGCCTTTGACCTAGTTCCCCACAATGTCCTCATGGCTAAGCTGGGGAACTATGGGCTTGATGATCTTATGGTCCCAATGGCTAGTCAAGTGGCTAGTTCAGACCCAAAGAGTACTAGTTGGCGGGAACAAATCAATGTGGTGCAGTGTGACCGGTGGAGTTCCTCAGGGTTTGGTACTTGGGCCGGTACTCTAACATCTTCATTAACAATCTGCAGTGGGGAGTCAGATGCGAACTGGCAAAGTTCACGGATTTCACCAAATTATGGGGGAAGACGGTCATACCGCAGGACAGGCTGGGAATACAGGCCAACTTGGACATGCTCTCAAGGTGGGCTGACCAAAACCTGATGGATTTCGATGCAGAGAAGTGCAAGTTGCTGCACCTTGGTAGGAAGAACCCTCAACATACTTACAAGCTTGGCAGTGCTATGCTTGCTAGCACTATGACCGAAAGGGACTTGGGGGTCCTGATTGACCACAATAAGTATGAGTCAGCAATGCAATGCTGTGGCTGGCAAAGCAAACCAAACGCTGGCGTGCATCTACCGATGTATCTCAAGCAAAACCAGAGATGTCATCCTCCTGCTTTACTTAGCCCTGGTGAGACCGCAGCTGGAGTACTGCATCCAGTTTTGAGCCCCCCACTTCAGGAGGGATGTGGAAAAGCTTGAGAGAATCTAGAGGACAGCCACTCATATGATCCAAGGCCTGGAGGGCAGGACGTAGAGAGAGAGGCTGAGGGACTTGGGACTCTTCAGTCTGGAAAAGAGAAGGGTCAGGGGGGACTTGGTAGCAACCTACTATTACACAAGAGGGGTACATCAGGACCTGGGAGAACAGCTGTTCACCAGAGCTCCCTAAGGGATAACAAGGTCTAATGACCATAAGCTCCAGGAAGGCCGATTTACACTAGACACAAGCAAAACGTTCTTTACGATGCATGTGTCCAGGGTCTGGAACAGACTCCCCCCAGAGGTGATGCAAGCACCTGCTCTGGACTCTTTCAAAAAACATTGGGATATTTTTCTTGCTGGGATCCCTTGATCCCAGCTGACTTCCCACCTATGGTAGGGGGGCTAGACTCGATCTCATGAGGTCCCTTCCAGCCCCTAATGTCTATGAAAGCTTCATCTACCTGGAACATAATAGTGCCCAACATAACATTCCCGTTATGTATAGGGTGACCATATGTCCCTCTTTTGCCAGAATAGTTCCGGATTTTGGAGGCTAGCCCTGGCTGGCCAACGCAAATTAAAACAAGTGTCCTGGGCATGGGGTGGAAAGGCACAGCACCACCAGTTGCAAAACAGAAAGCCCTAGCAGAGAGCAAGACTGCTCTAAAAATAGGTTAGCCTGATTAGTGGAATGACCATTAGAAAGGGGAGATGATTTTTAAAACCTGTGAAGTAATGAATAATGGGTCATTAATAGGCCATTGACTCCCTTAGCTGCCATTCCGGAGCTGTGCCACACCACCCAACTCTTACTTCAGTCTGCAGTAGCATCCTTAATTAGGGGGAGGGGAAATGACAGCATCCCTGATTTCACACTGTCCCTATGGTCAGCCTAATTATGTAGAATGAGCACACCAATCAATCATGGCGAGTTGAAGACAGTAACAAAATGATTTGGTTTTCACTGGTTTGCATTTTACCTAATAATTTGGCTTAAGGACACAAAAGAATAACATGAAAATGGAGCAAATACTGAGGCTCCACTTTCAATTCCCTTTTCCATTCCCCTGATTAACTGTCCTTTAGATACAGAATATTCCAAATACCATTGATTTTGTCAGAATTCAGTCTTCCAAATCAAGTTGCTTGGTTCTTTCACAGAAAAGGAAATTCAAAGTTAAGGCTGGCATACTGACAAAGTTATTTATAGTAAGGAAGGTCAATGTAGTTATGCAATAAGCAAAATGTTTGATGGTGTACTATTATGCACAAATGTAAATTAGATTCTGGGAATCAACAACTTGTGGGGGAGGCAGAGGAAAGCATGAGAGAGCCACTGTAATGAAAGAATCTGGGGGGGGGGGATAAACACACTAATATAGAAGGGTTCATTGAGAGTGCCAGAAGTTGTTTTGGAGCCACACTGGCATGAATCCTTACATTATCATCATTGAATCTTATCATTGCTTATAATAATTTTACTGTTTGAGTATAATCACTAAAGGCTATAACAGTGCATCTAATATATAATTCATATTTGTTATAATACTACAGGATTTTAGATTGCTTGCTTAGTCACGGTATAACTACTTTGGGCTTTTGGATTTAATATAAGAAATGCAAAACCCTGGAAGTCTTGGTTCAGGGATGATACCTTTTATTAGACCAACTAAGACATTTCTTAGTTTTGTATTTCTTTGTCTCAGACCAACATGGCTACCAAATACATCCCTGAAACCTGGATTTAATATAGGAATTTTAACTAAATTACTGCCTTGGGAAGATGTTAGAATTAACTTTACTAATACTGTAAAGAATTACAACATATGTCAACAGTGCAACCTGTAATACATTTTTTTTTTTTTTTTTTTTTTTTACCTGCACTCCATTGCTTTTGGGGGCAAAATATAAGGGAAAAGCATCTCAGTAAGCTTCCTTAAATAGTGGAGTTCATCTCTTCGACTTCTTAAAGCCACATGGAGCTCTGGTCCATATTCTTCTAAAGCAGCCTGTTGTAAAAATTCTGCATTTTGCACTGCAAATTAAAAAAAAAAAAAAAAAAAAAGAAGCTAAAAAGTTCAATTTCTTCCCCCTAGCATTTCACCAGGTTTAACATCATTTTCCTTTTTGATATATGGCATTAGGGTGGTAATATTATTGCCATACATTCAATTGTCCAAGTTCCACAAATTAATAACTATTGAACAAAGTTACCTTGGCTTGAATTCTGAAGTATGATTCTATTATAGAATCATTTCTATTCGTTTCATGTAAAAATGAAAACTTCTTATATAAAAATAAAAAAAATGGTCTTCACTGAAGTAATGCCAGGTTGTATAGTCCTATAAAATTCTTCAACTTATCAGTAAGTAGGTGAACTAGACAATGAAAACAAAACCATATTGGTGCCGAGCTCCTTTCCTTTAGCTCTTGCCTCAACACGTCTTCCAAGACTAGACTTTTATTTACTGGCTTGTCTTAAACACAATTTAAGATTGGAGCCTTCACCATTTATTTAATCCCGACATGCAAGCAGTTTCCTTCTTAGGGCATACTTGAATATCTCAAGCTGCTCTTCCAAAGCAAAGAAGGGCAAGTAATTCATCACTTAAAAGTCGTACATGGCGCTTAAACTAAATCTGACAACGGGCCATTCTGCCAGAAGCACTGCAAAAAAAAAAAGTACCCACATATCAACAGCTGTTTCTGGAGAAAGAAAATACATTTTAGTAGGCGGAGGCTCTGCATCTTAATTAGCAAGAAAGATTTTATAATCCCATTAAATCACTTCAAATACTAAAATGCGTGGTAATAATTCACACCTTGTTGCACTGAATTAATATGGCCTAGGCTCTGCCAAGAAATAGTATTGCATGCTGAACAAATACCTGAGAATTAAAAAAAAAACCCCAAAAGATGTAAATTGCTGCTTTTAGCACACAACAATCTGTATAAAAACAAATCATGGTAAGCATGCAATTTCATCAAGAGTCAGTTGAGATTCTTATGCAGTACAAGCCTGGATCATCCATATCCAAGTGGGCTGCAACCCATTCAAGTCACAGCAGCTTGCCAAATAAAAAGAAAAAACCCAACAAACCAAGCAGTTCAGCTGTTTGCTGCAGCTTTTACTTCAAAGGGTGCCATTTCTTACTCAACTGGCAATCATGGGCAGGCCCAGACAGTTGCTGGAGAAGCAGCGGCTTTTGAAATAAAAAGGTTAAGTAAATAGCTGGCACAGCTCTGTAGTTTTATGCAGCTATTTGCTACAGCTATACACTGTCTACAGCATATGGTGAACACACCTTTCCCTAAAGAGTAGCCCTCCAAAACTGGGGTGGGTGCTTTAAACTCAAAAGTAGATTTCTGTGCTAAAAGGAAGGCATAGGGATGCTGTAATGGCTGGCTCTATTCTGGGCTTGCAGAAGGAACAGAGTCAGTTCCTCTCCTCATAGCTAAAGCTGTTAACCCTCTCACAGCTGCTGCCAAATTGGCAGAAGCCTCTGACTGTTCAGTTTGGCAGTAGCTGCAAGAGTGTTAAAAGCTTTAGTTGCAAGGAGAGAGTGACTGACACTGGGGAATATTCTCTGTGCCTGTTCCAGGCAGCCTCTTCAGCCATGACACTGGAAAATATTTTTCTTCATTCTTCCTTCCTATCTAATAGTGCATGTATTTTCTGGGGGTATGCAGTATGCATGAAAACAATATATCCCCTCCCTCTCTACCCACTCAGTGGCATGCAAACTCTTGTCTCTTCACAGGAGGCTAGGAACCTAATACGGCAAATAATCCAGGTTCTTGTATATACCATTTGATCCAATTTAACCAAGTGACATCACGGAAGGCATGTTTGAATCATAAAATGCACCATGCCCACTAATTCCCAAACTGCAAATGATGTAGTTGTATTAGCACGGAGCAGCACACAAGTTAATTTCTGAGAGGCATGCACAGTGCTGCACAAACAAAGGTACCCTAATTCCAATTTGGATCCTTGACAGTATGAGAATTATAAATAGGGAGTCAGCACAGGACATGGAAAAGAACTGTTTGAGAACATGGAACAGAAACCAAAGAGAAGCAAAAATGGGAAGAACAACAAAACAAAGAGGGGCTTTGGAGCTGGAGGTTGTAGAGAGGCTGGGGGGAAATAAGAAAAGAGGAAAACAACAGGAAACAAGACAAGATATGAACTCTATTCATAAATGTGGTTTGGAGAGTTGTTGTGTATCCTAACACCTCTGGGAAGGCTTCTTTCAGTCTTTTTAGCTACTTAACTCTTTAATTTCACTTTTTCACTTGAAATTCAGCACTTTTGAACTGGTAGCAAGTCTACCACCCTAAAAGTATCAAAAGCAGCATTATGCCATTCATAAGGAGACATGTGAAAAATGCAGCTCTTCCAAGGAAAAAGTTGCAAGCATTTTTTCCTAACTGCCTTAGCTCCTTGGCAGAAGGCAAAGGAAAACTTGAAGGCTGACAAAGACAGACCATGGACAGACCTTTCATCATTTAGCAAAAAACTGGTTCAACACAGCCATGTTATATTTCATGTATGTTCACTAACAATCTTTCAAAGTGCCAGTGTACTATGTACTTGTATGTATATAAACAGTGGAAATTCCACAGAGAAACTGTCAGGTTTCCAATGTTTGTGAAATATCCATGTACATCCAGGAATAAATTATTGGCAGAATACAGCCTGTGAAAGGCAGCACTTCTTTTTCCCCCCTGATTTCAAGTGCTTCTCTTTGCAGAGAGATATACTCTCAATGCAAAGACTCTTAATATGTTTAGCATGGAATATAAAAACTGCATATTTTTAATCAGTCTTGATTAGATGCAACCACTGAACCTCAATCATGCAAAGACAGCCTGCTGTTTATAACTATAATCAGAGTTCCTTAACACAGTTAACACTTTCACCAACAGCTCAGACCCTCAAGGACATCATAACGCTTTAAAATCAGAAAAGTGAATCCAGGTTTGTGAAAATCACCAGCATTTTAATGAAGCCAGCCTCTTTTTCTTATCCCTATTCAAAAGCTTGACTTTTTTTTTTTTTTTTTTTTTTTTTTTTTTTTTTTTTTTTTTTTTTTTTTTTTAAGCCCCCCCGCCAGTTTCTTTCTCCCCTTCAAGCAACAAAGAAAGCATTCCCTTTGAAAAGCCATCCAAACACGGATGTGCTGCTTTTACAGCTGTGCCTGAAGCTATTTTTCCAAGCTCCTCAGTTTGCTGTAGTGGAACTTCAGGAACCCTACTGTGTTACAGACTAGCTTGAACTGGTTAAATGTAATAGGTTGTAAGTGTAAAACCAAACTAGTGTCATTATTAACAGTTTGCAGTGTGTTTATTAGTTAATGCATGAACATCCTTTCATCTCTTATTGATCACCTGAAATGCAGAGAAAAGCCTCAAATAATTAGAGGGCATTGTTCAGAACTGGGTGGGAAATATTTGTTAGCACACAACATTTAAAGGCACTGGAGCACAAAGTTTACTGCAAGAAGAGAAGGGCTTTGCTGCACATCAGTTGCTCCATCGTAACTGCCCTTGGTTACTCTTATCCCACAGTAGCCCATGACAATTTAACGCTCAATGAAAGCTGTTATAGAGATGTTTAGCTTTCACGTACCACAGGGTAAAAATATACATGCTAGCAGCTACCGAAGTGGGCAATGCCGTCTTTTGCCTTGAGCTAACCTGTTGGAGTGCCTGTGCCCCAAGTTACTCTGCATTTTGGATGACGACATTCAAATCCGGCAGATACTCTGCATGAGGTCCTGGTGACCTAGCTCATATCTGCTCCCCTATATTCCAAGCCCTCTGTACAATAGGAAAAGTAACATTTTCTTTTAAAAAAAGGAAAGGCAATGAAAGATTGAGATTAATCAATATGCTGGCAACTGTGTAGTAACACAATGTTTTAGGCTTAATATCTTCAATTTAGATAGATTAAAAAGGTGCTAAATCGACACAAATTATTTGCAGTACCTTTCTGTCTGGCTTTGGCTATCACTTCTATATGTTTCATTGCTGCCTTCAGCATCTTCTTTGTAATAACAGAAGGAATATCCACCTAAAAAACAAATTCAAAATTAAGCAAAAAAACAATTCTTCCAAATTATTATTATATTGCTGCTAACTACATATTTTGTTCACTAAAAATGTTTCAACTACAGTAATTGTCAGGATACCCGTTTCTTTGGAAAGGAACATTTTTACACTTAAAAAGTTACTGTCTTAAACAATATCATTTATGAGTATATTGTTAAAACATGAGCTGTTGGAGGGAACATACAAAAAACTGAAGCAATATTAAATCTTCAAAACTGTTAAAGTCATTCTGAAACATAAAATCAAGTTATACTCCATAAGAACTGCTCTGATCACTTGCCAAGTAGTAGATGCTGTCTATATTTGATTCCTACACCAAAATCCATGAATACACTGGAGAAAAGCATTAAAGTCGACAAGAACCAGAATCAAAAGTGAAGGCCACATCCTGTCTGCACTCAGAGTATCCTGCAGCGCTCATAGGTAGAGGCCTATTCAATTTGTGATTTCACAGAAATTTCGAAAACGGGGCATTGTCTATGAAAAATATTGGGCAATATCTGCAAAATCCGCAACCAAAAAAACCCAAACCTTAATAAAAATAAAATATTGGCTCCCCAGAGGAAGCCAGCAGTCTTCATGGTTACTGTGGCCTGGCTGCACAGCCCACCAGAAGGAAAAGGGGAAGAATGCTACTAGCATGAAGAGGGACAGCCAAGATGGCCACCATTCCCACCCCTCGCTGCTGACTGGCTGAGAGAGCTGCCTGTTGCTGCTGATTAGTGGAGAGCACAAGAGGCAGAGCCACATGACAGATAGCCCTCTTGGCCAATCAGTGGTGAGGGGCAGGGCCATATGATGGACAGCCCTCAACCAATCAGCAGTGAGGGGTGGGGCCACCCAGGCCTCTCAGCCAGTCAGAGGCATGGGGAGAGCCCCGCTGCAATAAGCCTGGGAAAATGGTGGCCGGCCCTGCAATCTGCCCACAAAATCAGCCTCCTGCCTCCTTGATTTGGGTAGGTCCCCTATTCATCAGACCATAAGATCAAAAAGGGACTTCCTGGGCCATCAAGTCCAGACTCCTATTATTATAAACTATCCCAGTCATAGGGTCCCAATCATAAAACAAATCAAATACAATATGATAGATAATATTACTGTTTAATTCTGTCAGCAGGATTTTTCAATCATAAAAACTACATTGGTGTTTATTTGGGCATTTACATCTTTTTTCTTAAAAGAAAAATTAAATGGTTATCTATCCTGACAAGAAACAAACTTCCCATGACCCAAGTAGAAAAAGGATTCTCACGTCAGCAGAAATATCTAGCAGGGACTGCTAAACAATTTTTCTTTATTCTTCTCAGGGTTGGTTTTTGGGGTTGTTTTTTTATTTTTTTATTTTTTTGGAGGGGGGGCAGGAAGGAAGGCCAGGATTAGGTTGTGCAAGAGCACAACCTAATGAAAATAATAAAGTAGTAAAAATGGGATAGTTTTCCTTCCAGAATTTTTAACTATAGAAATTAAATGCAGTTAAATCTGAAGCAATTAAAAATACTTCTCCCAACAACTAAAATGACAGACCAATTCATACTAATGCACAGCACCTTCTTTTTTAAAGTTCTGTGCAGAACTGGATGTCCTCCAGCTAAGTAAAGAAATGGCACGCTTCAAAGTATATACAGCAACAAACAGCTAAGCAGTTCATCCTTAATTTTACACTTCACTGCAAACTAAGCAAACTGCAAAACACCTGGATATGGATGATCTAGGTTCCACTATATCCACTTAGGCTGTAAACAGAAGTTGTATTTGCCATAGTCCTGACTGCCCTAGGTTTTGATCCATGCCAAAACTGAAGTGGCACTTTCCATTTACACATATTGCCCTTCCAAGCTGCTATTGCTATTCCTCTACCAGTAGGCCAGAAAACACATCCTGGCCAGCTTGTTAGGGAATGACCAGTGATGACCTTACCACACCGGTGGGGAATTATTTGGGCCCAGGGGCCACATAGGAAGTTTTAATGAATTGCCATGGACCAGGTTAGCATCCTCCTCCCTCCCTCCCCCAGTGCAACAATTCACCAAAACTCATGTGGGATGGAGGTGCAAGTAGACAGGAAACAGTGCTCAGGAATGGGATAGGCACTTGGGGCCAGGATCATAGGGCAAAGTTGCAGCATGACGACAGTGCAGGGCTGGGGCCCAGGGCAGAGCTGTGATCTGCTGCTCACACACCCCTGTAACAGGCACGAGTTCTGCAGGCAGGGGCATGCAAGTAGCAGACTGTGACCATGCCCTGGGCCCCGACTCCACACTGCCACTGCCCCTGGAGGCAGCTCCCTGCCTGCCCATGCTCCTGACTGGTCTCCATAGAGACCCCAGGGACAGTGTGCGGCCAGGGCAAAGCCCTGGTTTTGCGGGCAGGAATATGTGGGGTCAGGGCCCAGGGCAGAGCTGTGATCCACTCCCTGCATGACCCTGCCCTTTAGGAGGGAGGAGGGCATGGGGGGCAGGACAGGGGAGCAACCCTGCTGGTAAGCTGTGTATGCTGGCAGCAATGGAGGGCCAGCAGGCATGGGCGAGATCATAGTGCTGGCTGGCCTGATCAGGGCTTATCCCCATGTGGAATGCTGCAGGGGCAGTCACGAGCCAGATGCAATCATTGGAGGGCACACCCCATGGGCTGTATTTTGCCCACCCCTCCTTACAGGCACATACCACAACATCCCAGGAAAAAGAAGTGTCACCACATTGTTTCCTGCAAACTTTAGACAGTCTTGAAGCAGGTCTTGTAAGCCTGTAGAATTAACAGGCTCTCTCCTAGGAGAAATGTAATGTCTATTTACAAAACCCTTTGAGGAATTTAAAGAAGCAGGGGAGGCAAATAATAGACTGCAGCTCTGTGCCATTTAGCAGTTTTCTTTAATAGCTTCCTTAAATTTGATTTTGAAATGGTTACTGCAACATAAGAGATGATCTAGTGCCAACACAAAGTATCATTAAAAACAGCTGTGAAGAGACTTTCGTTCTTAAGAATTCCACCCAACTCATCTGCAGCCAGGAGTACACGCTTTGGAGAAAGAAGGTATTCAAAGAGGAAAAAAAAGAATTCCAGAGGAAGTTTTATATACAAAGGGTAATAAGTTCCTTTTGATAATAGATAAAAAGCATATCACTTCTTTCACTACAAAACCATGTTAACATCTCTAAGCCATTTTACCTTGTGAATTCTGCGAACTAATACAGATGTGAAAAACCGCAACGTAGCTCTCAGTTCATCTACGAAGGACTCATCATCTGTTACTTCACTGCAATGTTTTAAAAAAGATCATAATATAAGAACACAGCAAATATTGGTTTGATATTGATCCATGCTACATCTGACACTTCTAAATAAAAGAGTAATATCAAGTAGCATTTGAAAAACAAAAACTGTCACTAAATAAAAAAAAAAAATATTCATGAAAACTGGGTAGGGCCCACAGGACTGGTCTGCTCTTAAAGAGTAGAAAAACAAGACAAACTTAAATATGCTTATTAGGTAATAATTAGCTATGACTGAGCAGTGGCCAGAGTGCAAAACAGTCAGAAACAGTACCCCAATTCCTTTACTAATACTGACTGGCTGCATGACCTCAGAGCAGGGTTCCATGTCCAGTACAGTCTTTCCACAAAAAAGAGAGTTACCAGCTTCAAAATAAAGGAGTGAGCCCAAATCAGCGCTTACACAGCTCTCTGAAGAAGTGCTATAATGCTCAATATTATAAATTGATCCTGGCTGAAATCTGAACGAGTTGGTGGAGCCAAAAAACTCCCTGGTGTCTAGTCTCCATACTCTGTCCTGAACAAGGTCAGTTAGCATTAGAAACAGCACAAAGATGATGTGCCCCAGTCCTTGCTGCACCTAATTCTAACCCTGCTGCCTTTAGGTGAGGCAATCCAAAACTTGTCCAATATTTGAAACCTACCCCTTTGCAAAAGAGTAGCAACCTCATTTTCCTGTCAGGGAAAAAATGGGCTGCCCGCAAACAGAAGGGAAGGAGAAAAAATGTCCCAGAATATTAGATAAATATTTTCACTATAGCTAAAAGCAGTTAGAAGAGTTGTCCTCAACAAAAACTAAAAATCCTCTAAAAGCTTCAGGCAATGCACCAGGTTCAGAATCTTTTCCTCTACATGATCCAAGCACTTATTTCCAAAACCCTATTGTGCCAAGCAATGTACAAACATTCAGATGATCTGGTTCCTTTTAGATCCCGCAGTTCCAACACACTGAAAACGTTTTCCCATGTCCGTTCAATAGAACAACATGCAAGGCCCACAGACTCTCCATCATCTAACAATCAAATGCAATTTTAAATGATAAAATATTGAAGACAGCCACTTGTGTGGCCACCCTTGAATTTTATTTTATTTAATAGCTCAGGAGATCATCTATATTCCACGCAACCTTAAAGTCTCCATAACTAATAAAAAAAAACCAATAGGTTTTTCAACACAGTAATGCACAACAGTGTTCAGGCTCCCCCTGCTGTTCTCCCAAGTCAGTTAAATGCATAAATACAGATGCTTCCTCTACCTGAAGAAGGGTATTTGTACCCCAAAGCTTGCACAGAAGATTTTTTCCAACTATTTTAACTGGTCTAATAAAAGATACAAGGTTTACCCAAGGAACCTTGTCTGCCTATGTCCTTAGGCCAACCAATACCCCTACATTCAGAGCATTCATTGCACTACCACAACAAACACAGATATACAGACTTATGATGCATTTAAAAATAAATTGACAAATAAGAATGCCCTAAGTAAAAATGAAAAAATCTGAGATTACAAAGAACAAGAGATAACAGAGAATAAGGCAACAGTAGTTAACCATTTGTTTTAGCATACAAAAATGAACCCTACATTTAAATAGGAAAGTCACATACAAAGTTCACAAGTAAAAGATGTTCTTCTATACTTTATTTCCTTTTAGAAATTAATCTCATAACATGCAATTAAAATGCCAAAAGCTGAAATTTTCCTTCAAAATGCTTAGAAATACTAATAAACAGTACACCTTTCAGGTACAAAACCCTGAGACAGTTCCAGTCTTTTAAAGGCTTCTTTACATTTGAGCTTAACTTTAACTGTATGAGTACTCAAACTGAAAATAACTGCTCAAAGCCTTAAACAAAGACCTCTATGAGTGCTTAATAAGATTAAAGCTTGCATCTTGACTACATTTTCCTTACTTAAAAGCAGACAGATTATTTTTAAATTATTTGTAATTAAGAAGAGATTTTTTTTTTTTTTTTTAAAGACTAAAAGCTCTGAGTATAGGCAATGGAAGCAGGGAGCAGCCACCAAGGAGGAATCTCTCTCCCTGGCACGCTATTGCAGGGAATCAGTTAGACAGGCCAAGGCAGGGCTTGAACTCAGGCTGGCTTCAACAAATCAAGGACAATAAAAAGTCCTTCTTCAGGTATATAGCGGGCAAAAGGAAAGCTCAGAGCAACATAGGGCCCCTGCAGGACAAATCAGGACAGCTGGTGGTTGACATGGGGGAAAGCAGCAGAGCTCTTCAATGAGTTCTTCGCTTCAGTATTTCTATGTACCGACCAAGCCAATTCCCCCACCTCGATCACTGACGGATGT